TGTAAGGAGCCTCTGGGACAACTTCAAGTGTACCAATATTTGCATCATGGAGGTGCCAGAAGAAGAAGAAAGGGAGCAAGAAATCGAAAACCTATTTGGAAAAAAAATTTATAGAAAATGTCCCCTACCTGGTGAAAGAAATAGACTCACAAGTCCAGGAAGCTCAGAGTCTCAAACAAGATGAATCCAAAGAGGCCTACACCAAAACACATTAAATTAAAATGAAAAAGGTTAAAGATCAAAGACAGAATCTTAAAAGCAGCAAGAGGAAAGCAGTTAGTTACCTACAAGGGAGTACTCATACAATCATCAGCTGATTTCTCAACAGAAGCTTTTTAGACCAGAAAGGAGAGGCAAGAAATATTCAGAGATGAAAAGCAAGGACCTACTCTACCCAGCAAAGCTATCATTTAGAATTGAAGGACAGATAAAGAGCTTCCCAGACAAAGAAAAATTAAAGGAGTTAGTTCATCACTACCAAACTAGTATTACATGAAATGTTGAAGTGTTTTCCCTAGCAGAAGAAAAAGAAATAAAAACAAAATGTATGAACAATAAAATGGAAATAAATACAGATCTATCAACAATTGAATCTAAAAGTCAAAATAAATGAACAAGGAATCTAATAAATGAAATAAACTGATGAATAAAATAGAACCAGAGGCAGAGAAACATGGAACAGACTGATGAATCTCATAGAACAGGGGTGTAGAGGGACAGGAAGAGATTAACCAAAGAACTTATATGCATACATGCAATACCCATTATCTGTGGACAATGACAATAGGATGGTGAAGGGCTGGGGTGTGGTGGCATCTGGGTAAAGGGGAGCCTTCTAAGGGGGGAAGGAAGGACATCTGTAATTCAACAATAAAGATTAAAACAATAACAACACTAATCCTGTTTGATTTGGTATCACACCCTCCTTTCCACCTCATACTCAGCTCTGTGAATTTACCTGGCTTAATATAAAGAACATAAAACCATTTTGATGGGAGAAAGGGAATGAGTCTGAAAATATGAATAGCATTTCTTTTAGTTCAGACAGACCAAGGGCCACATAAATAAGTAATTTCATATAAACCACAGCCTACTTATCTTTTGATTAATATTTTATTTATTTTTAAAATATATTTTATTGATTTTTTACAGAGAGGAAGGGAGAGAGATAGAGAGTTAGAAACATTGATGAGAGAGAGTCATCAATCAGCTGCCTCTTGCATGCCCCCTACCAGGGATGTGACTGCAACCAAGGTACATGCCCTCGACTGGAATCGAACCTGGGACCCTTCAGTCTATAGGCTAATGCTCTATCTATTGAGCCAAACCAGTTTTGGCTGATTAATATTTTAAACAGATTTAGACACATCAATTTGTATTCCTGGATCATACCAACTCAAGCTAAAATTACGGAAGATTCTTTCTTTTTAGAAACAATGCTGGCCAGAAAACAGTGAGTTCTGAAAGAAGCATTTCAAAATTCTGAGAAAAAATAAAAACCCGTCAATCTAAAATTCTATGCCCAATAAAAAGATCTTTCAAATGCAAATAAATTGCCAAAGATTTAGGATAGCAAATAAACTTATAAAAATATGTTCAATATTATAAGTCATTAGGAAAATGCAAGTGAAAACAATGACTTACTACTAAAGACCATTTAGTATGGCTAACAATTCAATAACACTGAACTGACAACAATGAATGCTAGTGAAGATGTGGAGCAACAGCAGCTCTTATTGATTGCTGTTACAAAACCAAAATGATACAACCACTTTGGAAGACATTTTGGGAGTTTCTTACAAAGCTAAAAATAATCTTAACATATGATCTAGATATAGCAATAGCACTCCTTACTCGAGTGAAGTAAAAGCTTATGTCTACACAAAGAATATGCATGTGAATGCTTCTAGCAGCTGTTTCATAAGTACCCAAATTTGGAAACAAGATGTCCTTCAGTCAGTGAATGCATAATATTCACAGAGTGAATTATTATTCATCATTTTTTTAAATATATTTTATTGATTTTTTACAGAGAGGAAGGGAGAAAGATAGAGAGCCAAAACATTGATGAGAGAGAAACATCGACCAGCTGCCTCTTGCACACCCCCCACCGGGGATGTGCCCGCAACCAACGTACATGCCCTTGACTGGAATCGAACCTGGGACCCTTCAGTCCGCAGACCGACGCTCTACCACTGAGCCAAACCAGTTTTGGCATTATTCATAAATTTTTTTAAAAAAAGCTAATCATTAAAGGCAGAACTCTTAAATGCATATTGCTAAGTGAAAGAAGACAACTTGAAATCATACAATTATACTGTATGATTCCAACTATATGACACTCTGAAAAGAGCAAAACTATTAAGACAGTAAGATCAGCAGTTTCCAGGGGTTGAGTGGGAAGAATGAATAGGCAGAGCAAAGAGAATTTTTAGGGCAATGAAACTATTCTATATGATACTGTAATGGTGGGTGGATGTCACTATACATTTTGTTAAAACCCACAGAATGTACAATACAATACAAAGAGTGAATTCTAATGTAAGCCCTCCCTCTGAGTAAGGCATGGGAACCCATTTTAAACATAAAGACATAGGTCAAAAGTAAAACAACAAAAGGGATAAACCATGTTAACATTAATCAAAAGGAATATGAAGTGACTATAAGTATTGATCAAAGTAGATTTCATGGCAAGAATATTACCAAGAATGAAACAAGTCAATTCATCAAGACAATACAAGAATCTTAACATTTGAAAAGTTTCAACATATACCTAACAAAAACAGAAACGAAAGGAGAAATAGAAAATATACAATTACCATGAGGCATTTCAACATCCTCCTGTCAATAATTGATAGAATAGACAGAAAATCAATAGGGATGCAGAAGGACAACACTGTCACTTAACTTGAATTAATTGACATTTATGGAATAGTCCTCCCAATAAGAGCAGATACACATTGTTTTCAAGTGCAAGACATACCACATTCTGGACAATAAAATAAGTCTTAAATTAAGTCTTTAAAAAGTACTATGTTATCTAACTACATGGAATAACATCAGAACTCAAAAGAAAAGGTATTTTTTAAAATCCACAAATGTTTACAAACTAAAACACTCTTATTTTCCATGGGCCAAAAAAGAAATAAAGAGAAAATATTAGTAACAAATGAAAATAAAAATACAAAATATTGAGAATGTAGGTCCAGTTAAACAGTATATAGAAAAAAATTTATAGAACTGAACACCTGTATTTCAAATATTCATAATTTATTTTGACTATAAGGCAGTCATAATTTTTTAAGTTGGTATCATAGTTACTTGCTAAGCAATATTGGAGTTTATTTTCCAACTCTGTGTTAATTTACTATATTCCTTCTGCAGACACAATATTCTTTGCTGTGTAAAGCAGCAAGGTGTGCTACATAAAACAGATTCAAACTCGGTTTGAATTCTGGCCATGACAGAGAATCCTTGGACTCATTAATCTTTTCTGATATATATTTTTTTTCTGTGAAGAAGGAATAGGACCTCCTATTTTGAGTTGATAAAATTAAAATACCAAAACAATTTTTGGCGTATAGTATATCTTCCTATTTGGATATCATACTACCTCTGCAAAGATTAGCACATCAGAGTGCACAGGAATAGTCACTTTATATCAGCTTTTTGTAGTATGTTTATATATGCCATTGGCTTTAATGATTTGTAACAGATTACCAGACTGTTATAAGCAGAAGCCACACTAACTCAAACTAGTAGTTCCACTAATATTTCGAAAAAATATTCAAGCATTTGCTGACGTTGGTGATTTAAGGTATGATTTGTTACCTTGCCTCTGGTAATATATTTGCAGTTAATTTTTAGAAACTTCTCAGTAAATGCTTCTTCCTCTTCAGAAGTTGAAGATACAACTCGTGCAGGTCGAATACCAGTAAATGTAGATGAGGGAGTTGTTTCTTTCAGGTGCACGTCATCAAGATTCTTATTAAAAAAAAAAAAAAAAAAATTAAAAAAAATAAATAAATAAATAAATAAAAGGCACTTCAGAGAACTAAATAAAAATAAGCAAATTATTAAAGCCAAATGAATAGCTTCCCTCAATAAGTGTTTTCCTTCTTATCACATTCTAGAGGTCAGTCAAAAATGTTCTTATGTAAAAAATATAGGTAAGAATGGCACTGTTTTCACATTCATTGGAGATTTTTAACACAGCTTACACTTACATGTTTAATGTTATTTTTTAAAAAATATATTTCATTGATTTTTTACAGAGAGGAAGGGAGAGAGATACAGAGTAGAGAGTTAGAAACATCGACGAGAGAGAGTCATCAATCACCTGCCTCTTGCACGCCCCCTACCAGGGATGTGCCTGCAACCAAAGTACATGCCCTTGACAGGAATCAAACCCGGGATCTTTCAGTCCCCAGGCCGAAGCTCTATCCACTGGGCCAAACCGGTTTCGGCTGTTTAATGTTTTTTTTGTGTTTTTTTTTTTTTTTTAATGGGGGACATATAAAACTAGAGGCCAGTTGCAGGAAGATTCCTGCAAGAATAAGTATTCCTTGGGCCTATTCCTGCAAGAATAGGGCTTCCTGCAGCTGGAGCGAAGCAGAGAAGGGAGCAAATCCCTCCAGTCTCAGCTGCCTCGCTTCCCTCCTGTCTCTGCTGCCTTGCTTCCCTCCTGTCTCCGAAGCCTCACTCCCTTCTCCGCAGCACTTGGCTTCCTTCTAAGCTGTCTTCAGTCTTCGCTCCAGTATGCAAATTAACTGCCACCTTTGTTGGGTTAATTTGCATACTCGCTCTTATCTGCTAGTGGGCATAGCAGAGGGATGGTCAATTTGCATGTTTCTTTTATTAGTGTAGATGAATCATTAGAATGTTGAATTAACTGACAAACTACATTTCTTGTATTCCCAACTCCACACATAAGTACACCACACACACCCACACGCACGCGCGCGCACACACACACACACACACACACACACACACACACGTTCAGTTGCTCCTAAATTAAACTGCTGGCCCCGATAAGACAATTTACAACGTTAATCACGAATCATTCAAACTCTAGCCATCATATTCTGTTCTGCCCTCCAATAGGTGGAACAGGTAAGGATTATCCTCCCTGATGATCTAGAATTATGTTTAACAATTGAATGACACTGTTCAATTACTCATCTCTGGGAACAAAATTCTCAACCTTTGCATTTATGATGCAAATTAATAACATTAACTCAGCCTGTTAATTTAAGTTAGAGTTAAATAAGAGATATTAATGATATTAATGGATATTTATGAATACTTGTTATATTTAAGTATATTATACAGACCATTTTATTTAATTTTCAAATCACTCATATAAGGTATATACTATTACCTGAATTTTTCTAACTTCGTAAGGCTTTTTTATTGTCAAATATAACACGTATGCAGAAAAGTACATAAAACATATGTGTGCAGATAAATGGATTAGTATCAGCACCAGGTCAAACAACAGCACAAGCACACTGTAAGCATCTTAGAAGCCCCCCGTTTGTCCTTTCTTGACCATAATCAAGTACCTTTTAAAAAAAAATGTTTTTTTTTGTTATTCCTTTAATTTTTAGGGAAACTTATGATTAGCTAATTTTCCCAACTTGCCCATTGAGTAAAATGAAGAAGCTGAGATGCAAACCCATGTTGCCAACATGTGAACTAGTGAGGCTGAGTTCAATACCACATACCTTCCCTTTCAAATGAAATGTGTGAAGGAGAAAAAGTCAATGCAGAGCCCTTGAAAGGCCCCTTCCAAGTGGAAACAAAGCTATCAACATATTTTGTTTGTTCAGTTATTCCCAAATCCAATTGACATTATCTACTAGTTAACAGTATTATTCACCAAACTATAGTCAAGTACATTGTCAAAAGCTTTCCTTAAGTGAATACACACTTCATCGAACAATATGATCTCTGAGGTTCCCTCAAAGTATCAAATTCTACAACTCAGTATCTACAGCAATCCCAATTTGTCAATGTAATTCTATCAAAAAGAATACATGAGGTTAGCTTGGCAAACATTTAAAGTATAACACTAGAAAGGACATTTCTTTTAAATAAAGGTCAAAACTGTTCAGAGGAATCTTAATCAGACCTCACTAAAACTTATATACATGTACATTATCCAAAGTATCAGTATTTCTAGGTTGCTGTTTTTCACTGTTGTTTATATATTTTTTAAATTAAATGTATTGGGGTAACATCGGTTTATAAGATCATACAGGTTTTAAGTGTACATTTCTATGAGACAAGACCTGTATATTACATTGTGTGCCCACCACCCAAAGTTAAATCATCTTCTATCACCATACATTTGGCCCCTTTACCCTTTACTACTCCATCACCTTCCCTCTAGAAACCAGAGGCACTTCTTAGAGAATACAACTTTTATCTCATAGTCACTCATACCCAACTGTTATTTATAGATTCTGATTCTTAAAGCAGTGATTCTGAAGCTCACTTGAATGTTTTCTGAAGCTTCTTTGGCAAATTAAAATGAGTAATTTGTGTTTTATTACTAAAATGCCATTTGATATCCTAAACTTACAGTGCAAAGTGGGGCAGAGAAGAAAATGATCTAAAGTCAGCAGATCAACAGAGAAGATTCTCTCATAAGTAAAGCCATTTAATGGAGGGCGAGGAGAACCATTTCTATAGGAACATAATCATTAGGTCATTATAAAAATGGGAAATTCTAATTAGTATTAATTTATATAGAAAAACACAAAAATATAATTCCTTTTAGAGACATTTTATTCAAAATCAAATAAAGTTTGTGTGAGGGCAAGAAAAAGGCATCTTTTTCCTTGCTGTAGCCTTCCACAATTTATGACAAGGACCTGGTAATAAAACATCAAGATTGTTAGCTCCTTTGATTCAAATGGCACCTCTGTTCAAACTGCAAGACAAGAAAAGCTACTTTCAAGGCTACAACCTTGCATACCCCACCTCCCTGTGGTTTTCATGACTCTAGGGCAGTGGTCAAAGGCCAGTTCAGGAGTACCCTAATTAAGTTAATAACAATGTACCTACCTATATAGTTTACGTTTAAAAAATCTGGCTCTCAAAAGAAATTTCAATCTTTGCACTGTTGATATTTGGCTCTGTTGATTAATGAGTTTGCCAACCCCTGCTCTAGGGAAACCGATGCCAGAGAGTTAAAAAAAAGAAGAAAAAAAAAAAGAAAAAGAAAAAGAAACTGCCCCCATTTCAAACTCTTGTAACTTCCGCTCTAAGAATGTTTTACAGGCTTGTGAAGATGCCTATAAAGACACCTCCCTAGGACATCTGCCCCGACTAAAATAAGCAAACAAAACTTTTCAAAGATACTCCACCCCCCATATCTGCTCATATTTAGCCCCCAAATCCTGCTCCCTTCCTTATTACAGAGCAATTGAAGCCAAGACTTTAAAAGGGGAAGCCATCATTTATTTCTTGCCCTTGTATTGACTAGCAATGGACTCCTGGGAAGGTAAAATAAACTTCCTCTCTACATCTACCTCCTCTCAGTTGTGAATTCTTTCACAGCTGAAGTCACTGGCCAAAGCCCTTACAGTTTGGTTCCTTGAAATTCATTTGTAAAATAACTTATATAAAATATTAATTCCTTAAAAATTCTAAATTAATCCACTATTAATTACTTAGAATTCTCAGAATGATTAAGATTATAATAAATTATTTTTTTAAAGTAGTATGTCAAGAATAAGAGTTCTAAGTACTATATAAATATTCATAGAAAATAAAATTGAACATGGACTTCCTATCATGATATTCTAATATTTGTTAGGCAAAACTTCTTCCTTAAATTACTACATGATATTTTAAAATATATTTTATTGATTTTTTACAGAGAGGAAGGGAGAGGGATAGAGAGTTAGAAACATCAATGAGAGAGGAACATCGATCAGCTGCCTCCTGCACAACCCCTACTGGGGATATGCCAGCAACAAATGTACATGCCCTTGACCAGAATCAAACCTGGGACCCTTCAGTCCATGGGCCTACACTCTATCCACTGAGCCAAACTGGTTAGGGCTATTACATATTTATAAGAGTGAACTGGTAACTATCCTTGGACCAACATCACCAATAGCAAATTAATTTAAAAAGGATGTTTCACTTTAAAAACTGGAATCTACAAATTTAAGTAAAAATTAAAAAGTAAAATTTCATTCTACAATAGTCAAAGTAGGATTTAAAAATCATGATGATATATACATGTACAGAGAGATTTATTCACAGCTATCTTTGAAAAGTAGGGACACTTACAGTGGCCTTATCAAATTCAGCCTCAGATGATGTTGGTGACAGGGGACTTATGGGGCTTAGTGATGGAGAGCTCTCCACACTGGAGACATAATCAGGATCAGGAACATATAAAACCTGGAAGAAAACAAAACATTCACACAAACTGAAATATTAACAGGCAGACAGTGTTTCATTAGCAAGTACCATGACCTTTAGCAACAAATAATAAAAAAAAATCTTCAGATTAAAATAATATTTTTAACATAATAATTCTAATAAAATAAGAAAACACATATTTAAATTCAATTAAGAAAAGTTTGATAATACATACATACTATCAGGAATGGGGTGGGGAAACAATTATTACATACTATGGGAGTTCCTCTTAAAAAAATAATTTTGCAGTAGCTAGCAAAATTTTAAATGCACATATTCTTTATTACAGCAATTTTACCTAAAGGACTTTATTGAAATCTCTCTCTCTCTCTCTCTCTCTCTCTCTCTCTCTCTCTCTCTATATATATATATATATATATATATATATATATATATATATATACAGGATGTACAGGAGTGTTCCCTACAGTGGGCATAGCAAAACAGTAGAAATAGTCTAAAGCTTAAAATGTCTAGTTAAAGTATATAAAAAGAGCACAACACTCCAGACATAAAACAATCTGAGATTGTACTGTGCTTATATAAAATATTTTCCAAAGCCAAAGTCAAATAAGAAAATAAGGTTACAAGTCCTGTCAAGTGTGACTCAGGGTTTAGAGAATCTGCCTGAGCACCTAAGGGTTGAGGGTTCAATTATAGGTCAAGAACAAGTACCTGGGTTGCAGCTTCAATCCAACCTGGTTGTGGGCATGTTCAGAAGGCAACTAATGGGTTTATCTTTCTCACAAAAGTCTCTGTCTGTCTGTCTGTCTGTCTCTCCCTCATTCCCTCCTTTCCACTCTCTAAAAATCAATGGGAAAATATCCTTGGGTGAGCACTAACTAACTAAATATTTTTAAAGGGCTAGTATATTACTGGAAGGGGATACAAATTAGCAACTGTGGTTGCTTCTTTAAAAAGAAACTAGGTATCTGAGATAGGATAACTTAACCTTTAAAAATGTCTGAATTTTTTTTTTTTATCATCTATTGCTTTGGATAATTTAAAAAGCTCTTTAAAACTAAATTTAAAAGACAAATCACAATTATTTTCAATATTTATTAAGAAATAATCATAGTATATAATAAAATAATAATATGCAAATTGACCACCACTCCAACACACAAGCTGGCCACCCCGATGGGGACACAATATGGCCACCACAAGATGGCCGGCAGGGGAGGGCAGTTGGAAGGGACAAGGGCTGCAGGGGAGGGCAGTTGGCGGTGATCAGACCTGCAGGAAAGGGCAGTTGGGGGCGATCAGGCCTGCAGGGGAGGACAGTTGGGGGAACGAGGCCAGAAGGGGAGGGAAGTTAGGAGGAGACCAGATTTGCAGGGGAAGGCAGTGGGGGAGGACCAGGCCTACAGGGAAGGGCATTTGGGAGGGACAAGGCCTGCAGGGAAGGAAAGTTGGGGGGACCAGGCCTACAGGGGAGGACAGTTGGGGGGACCAGGCCTGCAGGGGAGGGCAGTTGGGGGCAACCAGGCTGGCAAGGGAGGGCAGTTAGGGGCAACCAGCCTGGCAGGGCAGGGCAGTTAGGGTGACCAGGCCAGCAGGGGAGGGTAGTTAGGGGCAATCAGGCTGGCAAGGGAACATTTAGGCATCAATCAGGCTGGCAGGGAAATGGTTATGGGGTGATCAGGCTGGCAGGCAGAAGCAGTTAGGGGCAATCAGGCAGGCAGGCAGGTGA